GTGGTCACGGCGCCACTGCCGGCCGAGGGCGCTGGGAAGGGGCCTGACACTCCCCCCCGCCTCACACAGGGCTGCAGCTGCCTGGCAGAGGGGTCGCCTCTTCGATGGGCCCGAGAGCCCCCTGCCGGCCACCGGGCTGTGGGGAAGAGGCGCTGGTATCCAGACGCTCCCACTCCTGCCTGAAATCAGTACCAACCTTGTGTGTGAACGCGCAGAGGCGAATCCCGGGCCTGCTCTGCACGTGACGCAGGACCCCCTGCGTCCTCCGTGGAGGCCTGTGCTGAGCTCAAGGCCTTTGGAAGGAGTGGAAAGGGAGGGTGGGGCGTCGGGAACCACGCGGCTGCTGCCTGGTTCTCCCATTTCACCCAGGCCCAGCTGGGGCCCCCAGGTTCCGTGAGGATCGAGGATCATCCTCCAGCTTTCCCAGGAGGGCAGCACGCAGTTCTGGTGGGTGCGGCTGAAGGCGTGGGGTGGGAAGGGGTGCAAAGGATGCACCCTACCCTGTGGCCGCACTTGGACCTGGACGGAGTGACCCGGCGCACGGCAGGGACCGCAGAGCTACAGGTGTCGGGCTGGGAGCCGGCTGGTCCCTCCGGGGCGTTTTCTTGAGTCACAACAGGGGAAACAGATGCCACGTTCCCTGGCCAGTGCTGCCCCAGCGCAAGCTGCACGCAGATGTGCAGGCCCCTAGTGCAGGAGAACGCCCGTGGGGAGGTGGGGGGGCAGAGGTGTTCCAGGTGAAGTCAGATTTGTTTACATTCCACCCCCCAGCCATGCACACTGAGAGGCTGAACTTGAAATATTGAGACCAGAGGAGGGATTACTCCTCAGAGAACAAATTTAAAATAAAGATGAAGACAGCAAGGGCATTAGTGCCCTGGTGCCACTCAGCACAGGCCCCCCCCACACGGAGCCCCCGCTCCCCGGCCTCGCCCGCCTGGGCCTCTCCCCAGCCTCCCGCAGTGCCCCCCACCCCCGCCAGGTCCCTGCGCCACGGAACCACCTGCCTCCAGCTCGCTGCTTTGTAAACACAGATTCTCCATCTTTTTTGAGCCTCAGTGTGCTCAGCTGTGAAATGGGCTCACAGCTCACGTGGGGCTTGGGCGAGACCATGACTAATGCCAGCTTCCTGCCCTGCACCCTCGTCCTGCCTCGGCCCATGGTACCCGAGGTGGGGTGGGGCTCTGCACGCTGCCCCATGGGCGCAGCTGCCCATCAATAGCTCCCCGTCAACAAGGTAGGGCAGAGTTCTGACTCTGATGACTTGGAGGAGGAGGGCGCCTCATTCCCCCGGGGCTGAAGGCATCCTTGGAAGTAAGCCCCTCTCCCCCGCGTGGTTAGTGCCCAAGGGGCACCAGAACCAGTACGCCTCCAAGAAATAAATAGCTGAAACTGGGAAGGAAACCTCGCTTTCCCCTGTTAGACTCTGGGCGTCCCACGTGAGGAGGCGGGACGCAGAATAGATCCAGTCAGCCTGCAGACTCGCTCAGGACGCGCCTCAGCAGAGCCCGTGGTCCTGGAGGCCGGCGCTCCAGCCGCGGCGGGGCCCACGGTTGGTCCAGGCCGGGCGAGTCGGCTGGTGGTTTCCGCCAGGTTCGCCTCAGTTGCCCGTTTTCTGCCTTTATGACTTCATCAGGAACCGTGGTGTGTTTCTCTAAAGTACCAGTGGGATTTTGAAAGAAGCCTCTTCTGATTTAAAGGCTTAATCCAGATGACTTGAGGCCCACGGTCTGAAGAATGCTCATTCTTGTGTGATGGGAAGATGCTGAGAAGTCAACACAGACCTTGTTCCCTAATGGCTCGGGGATCCCAGAATGCTGAGAGAGACCATCACCTCGTCCCCGGAAACGTTGCTCTGTCGTCTGACGGCCGCTCCCCAGATCACAGACACACACGGCTCATCGGCTCTTTGCCGAGGTCGCTGACACTCACTTGCTTTGAAAACCTGAGTTGACTCCGCCGTGGAGGTGGGTGCTGGCGGACGCTGCGCCGGGGGTGGGGGGCCCGCCCTGGGCAGCTGAGACCCCCGAGCCTCACGCTCGCCACCCGGGGTCTGTCCTCTCCCGGCAGGGACGGCGCCCCCTCCTGCAGGAGCCCCCGTATCCACAGCTCCACGGCAGGTGGCCCCTGAAGTCACCCAGTCCCAGGGGCTGGAAGGGTGGGTGGGGGCAAAGAAGACGGCCACCTGCCAGGCCCTGGTGGAGGGACCCTGACCCCCCGGGGCTGCACGCCAGTGGGTATCCGTGTTAAGAGACGCCCTTTCAGCTCCCGTGGGGGCCCCCTCGTCCCTCCAGCCCCCCACCTCCCTCTGGACCTATAGCTCCCTGTGGACCAACGCCTGTGTCATCCATCCTCTGCTTCTGCTGGCTTCTTCCCTTTCCTTTCTGGAGAGCAGCCCCTCTGCCTTTCCTTCCGTCCTCCCGGGAGCACCTCCCAGGGCACCCCCTTCTCCTTCCGGTCCTAGCTGTGTGCTCGGACCCCAAACGAGGAAACTCAGAGCCCGCTTCCCCCACTTATCCTCATAGCCCAGCTTGTCCAGCAGAACTCGGGGCTGGATGAAACCGTTCCCAATGCGCGCACACGTGCACACAACAACACACACACACACAAGTACATACACGCACACACACAAACACATGTGCACACATACACATGCACATACATACGTGAACACATGCGCATACATATGTGAACACATGCGCATACATGCACATGCGGATACATTACGTGGACACACGACCACACACACCCCTTTTTCTTCAGCAGTCTTGATCTTAGTCTCAAAACCAGAGTCCCTATTTTATTCTTTCCTTAAATGTTGATTGCGCACCTGCCTGGTGCAGACACTGTTCTAGACCCTGGGGTGGAGCACGAACAGGACACGAAGGTCTCTAGCCCATGGGGAGCACGCTGTGGGGGAGGGCAGATGAGAGGGGAGAGGGGCCCCCAGGTGGAGGGGGCGGGTGCAAAGGTCCTGAGGCAGGAGTTTGCCCGTGTGTTCCGGGAGCACCTCAGTTTGCTGGGTCCCCTCAGCTGGACAGGCACACGCACCCTCTTCTGGGTGGATCCCTGGGTTCCCTCAGCAGCAGATGGACGCAGCCGCAGGGCAGCAGGTGGCCACTCGCCAGGATCCCAGCTGAGGACAAAAGATCTGCCCCAGAAGGACAAGCTGCCAGGACTCCTCATGGGAGAAGGGAACCTGCACGCCTCATACACACCCTCCTCGAGGTCACCCGCCCTGCAGTCCCGTGGGACAGGAGCCTGGGAAGAGGGGCCTCAGTCAGCAGGACTTCAGCCCACAGACCAGGGGTTTGAGGGAGGTTGCCCAAGTCATGACGCTTGCCCACGTGTCCCCCAGCTTGGCGTCCCCCTGGCCACTGTGGGTCACCAGCAGCAGAATCAGGAAGACTGTTCTCACGCCACCGAGGGGCAGAATGAGGCAGACGAGTGAGATCTGTGTTTCACTCTGTTTCCTTGAGAGCAGGCCTCATTCTTATTGGCTCGTAGCCCCCCAGGACCAGCCCAGTGGCCCTCCCCCCATCCTTTCTCCCGTCCTGCCCCGCAGTGAGGCAGTCTGGGTGTGAACGCAGTTTTCATGGGACTTTGGTTTACAGAGATTCCTCTTTGTCCTCCAAGAGGCCCCCGAGCAGCACACACATGCAGGTAGAAGGACGACACCCAGCTCTTTGTTGATCGCCGCCTGGTGTCATGTGGCTGGCATGAATCTTCACCCCAGACAAGGAGGTCCTCCCGATGGGGCCTCGTTCACCCTCCCCGAGGGCCCGAGTCCTTCCTCCTGTCAGATTTGTCTCTAAGACCCGGTCCGTCCTCTCACACCAGGGGAGCAGGGTGGTGGTGAGGCCAGGCCTTCGCCTGGCAGGGCAGGGGCACCCAAGTGGCGTGGGTTTTGTTTAGTTTATCTCATTTTACTGAATTTTACAGCCGGGACGTCTGTGCTCTGCGGGGCTCTCCACCTGTTCTAGCCTCTTCCTCCCAAGGCCCCTCTGAGCCAGGAGGCCTCCCTTCTCCTCGCCTGACCCCAGTGAGTTGTGTCCCATCTCTGCGTCACCTTCTAAGAAGGGCCTCCAGGGTCAGGAGGGTGCTCTGGGGGTCGGTGAGCTCCTGTCTTCAGGAGCCAGCCCGGGAGGGTCAGTGTGCCCACCAGGCACGTCCTGGTAGGCGGCCCAGAAGATGACACTTGTTAAAAATGCAGCTTGGGACTTGCCTGTCGGTCCAGTGGTCAAGACTCCGTGCTTCTATTGCAGGGAGCGTGGGTTCGATCCCTAGTCGGGGACTTACGATCCCACATGTTGCGTGATGCGGCCAAAACAAATGTCTTTAAATGCATCTGGTTCCCTGTTGGAGTGAAAGCCCTGCCACTTTTCCTGCCCAGATCGCGTGAGCAGTGTATTTGCCTGAAACCACTCTCTCGTTAGGTCAAACTCACCGGGTCCACAAAGCCCCAAGGTAGCAGAGCACTTACAGCTGGTGCCTGAGGGCGCAGCTTCTAAGCCCTAGGCCAGGGTTCACACCACTAAATTGTTCCAAGAGGCTTAAAAGAAAAGCAGAATTTCAATTAGCCACAGATCTAAGGAGTCCCTAACTGGGCTGCCTTTTCTTTAAAAGGGTCCCTGAGTCTCTTCCAGCTTAGATGGATGGGTAAGCAGCAGGTGAGATGAAACAAGAAAAACCCAGCCCGGGGCTGCGTAGCTCACCCCCGTTCTCCCGAAGGCTTTCTCTTGCCCAGAGTGTCAGGCATGAAGCAGAGAGAAGAGAATGAAGCAGGGGCCCAGAGAGCTGGCGCCACCATCTCGTCTGGCAGGTCCTCCGGGGCCTCGGGCGAGTCGTGTGGCCGCCGTGCGCTCTGCCGGCCGGCTCAGCGCAGGGCGTGGGGGCCGTGGCTGCTGGGTCACCGGGGGAGCTCGGTCCCTTCCCTGCCCGCACCTCCTGGTAGCTGATCCCGGCTGCACCCCCTCACCGGCCTGCCTCTCCTGCCGCAGGTACCTGGCGCTCTACGCCTACAAGCCCCAGAAGAGCGACGAGCTGGAGCTGCGCAAGGGCGACACGTACCGCGTGCTGGAGAAGTGTCGGGACGGCTGGTTCAAGGGCACAGCCCTGCGGACGGGGCTCTCGGGCGTGTTCCCGGGGAACTACGTGACGCCCGTCTCTAGGTGAGGCGCGCCCACGAGGAGCAGAGCCGCACGTGGCAGCTGCACACGGGGGCGTGCATTCCAGGGCAGGACCTCGTGGGCACGTGGGCATGTGTGAATGCGTGTACGTGTGTGCACGTGTGAGTACAGCGGGTGTGTGTGCGAGAAGCACATGCCATTCACACACGTGAAGGCAAGATAACATATTCCCAGAAGTTAACCGTTATTATTGAGCGGAGCATTACGGGTGATTAATTTTTTTCTTCCTTGTGACTTCCTGTGTTTTACAAATTTACTGATAGTTTTTATGACCTAGGAAAAGCAAGTTTAAAAATTCGCTAGAGATGACCCAGGGTTGTCAGATGTTTCCATGGAGGGGAGCGTCCACTGCAGGGTGGAACCCTGGATTACCCAGCCCTGGTTCACAGCCCAGGACACACAGTCCGCTGGAGACTCGCCCCCGGGCCTCTGCTCTCTTTGGAACAAGACTTCCAGGAAGACAACTGAACAATGCCCAAACCTGCACTGACGCCCGACCGACTCGCACCTTCGAAGCAGCGGGGAGGGGAGCCACGCCACCCACGGTCCCTCCTGGAAAGGCCCACCATTTGTGAGCCCCGTGGCCCCGTGGCCCTGGACGAGGAGGCCCTTCTCCCCACAGCTGCTCCGCAGAGGCTCTGCTTCCCCGGGGCCCTCCCACATGGCCCAGGGCCCCGGCGGCAGTGCCTGCCCTCCCCCACGTGTGGCTCTGGGGTTTCACGACTGAGATCCTGAGGGAACAGAAGGGACGTTTTCCCAGCTCTTAGACAAATGGAAGGCATTTGATCCCTGAAACTGGACCCCAGGAGCTTCCCAGCCCAGACCCACATGCTCAGAGCTGGTGCACGGCTCAGTGTCGGCACGTGCAGGACAGACCGTCAGAGCCCGTCTCGGGGTCCTGTGCTCCTTTGTGTTCCTGGGCTGTCGGCACCGGCTTCGTCTGGAAAGTATGGGGCGAAACCGCAAGTTCCCTGGCGTCCCTCAGGAGCGCAGGGCTTGTCTGCACCCTTTCCTGGAGGCCCCAGAGCCAGGAAGCTGTGTCCAGAGGGAGACCGGTCCTGCTTCCTGCCGCCTGCCGCCTGCCAGATGCTTCCAAGCCCATTCCTTCTGCATGTGTTGGGGACACACAGCTGTTTGTTAGACTAAATCAAGGCAGTGGCTCTGGAACAAAATATCTGATTAGCATCATTTCTCCGTTTCTTAGGGTTCTCTTGCTGTTTCTCAAATATTCGCATCGAGAGACCATGCCGTTGTAAAGGGGGCTCTGCTGCCAGCCTGAGCTCTGGGCATCGCATGCCTGCAGGTGTTCTCTTGGTGGATTTGTCCCCGGACCACGTGGCCCCCGTCTCTCGGGGCCTTGAGTGGCCTGTGTGGCGTGGTTGCATCTGTGCCCTCCCCTGACTTCATTCTCTTTACTTCCTCAGGGTTCCTGTAGGCGGGGCTGGGCCACCCCGGAATAATGCGGTCGGAGGGTCTCCGCTGGCCAAGGGGATGGCCACAACCCTTCACCCAGGCGGTGGGAGTCTGAGTAGCCCGGCCACGGCCCTGAGGCCAGCCCTCCCCCTCACCATGGCCCAGGCTCCGGCCCAGCACCAGGCAGTCTCGCCCGCACTGAGCAGTTGTCTGCGGCACTCAGTTCAGCCGGCGGCCAGCCAAGCCCGGAGCGCCGGCCCCCCTGGTATGTAGCAGGCTCCCATGGGCCTCATTCTGCTGGAAAATTTGAGGAGGGTGGTCTCGGGGTCAGAAGTCATGAGCATCCTTTTGGCGCAGGTCTCGAGCAGTCCATGGAGGGGCCCGTCGTAATCATGAACTTCTGCTAATCTTGGGGGATGTGTTGACTTAATCATGTTAGCCTGTTCTGGCAGCTGGAATGGAGTAGAGAATTCACAGGTCTTTATACACTTCATGTAGCCAGAGGACTGGGTGGACCAGTGAGGTTACCTTGGCGCCTCTGGGCACCCTCGTCAGCCGCTGTGGCTCACCTACATCCAAGTGCCAGGTGCTAAGGGGGTCTCCCGATTAGGCAGCACCCCCAGGACAGAGCTGGTAATGAGACAGATCCACAGGGTCCCTTCCTGAAATGCTTTGAGGCTGGAGGGATTGATGGCCATGCAGCTTCACCAATAGCCAGACTGACCGGAATTCAGGAGAATCCAGGTTGCTCCCAGTGTAGTGTGAGATGACGGAAAGTGTGGGGTGGATCGTGGAGGTATGAAGAGGGGTTAGCACGTCTTGCTTGGAAGCTTGGCAGTGAGCTAAGAGGAGCTGCTGAGCGTGGCTCACGTGATGCTCCTGGGAGCCAGGCCAGTAACTTTCCGACACGTGAACCAGTAACATTGTCCCCGTGTAGTGACAAGGGACCCAGGACAGGAGAATGTACCACTGAATTTCACTTAAATGACACAGAATTCCTTCCCCGCCCCCCCAGCCTTATTCTCGGAAGTCATCCCTCTCCTTCTCAAAGTAAGGCTTAAAGGACAATAAATATAAATTCTTTAGAGCAGTAAAGTACACTGTTTTCTAGACTCTGGCCAGCCAGACGGCCCGCTAGGAGTCTCCAGAAAGCATCTCCTCGGTGTGAGAAGCCCAGACGACAGTCACCACAGTGGGGCCACAGTCCCCCCCAGTCGCGGCCAAGGGACACGAGGGGGGCGGGTGTCCGGGCGCCCCCCGCCCCCCACTGTCGGGGACGCATTGCTGAGCGCTGGCGGGAAGCCCAGCGTTTCAGAGCCGGCCCTGCTCTCAGCCCCAGGACTGGCCCTCAGGGCGGCGGGGGGCGCTGTGACGAGGCTGGTGAGGGGTCGGTCCCAGGCAGAGCTGCCTGTAGCACCCAGGCGGGGGGGAAGGGAACAAAGGCACAGAAGTGGGAGAAGCGCGCCCTTGTCCTCCAGCTGGAGCGGTGCAGCGAGGGCAGCGAGCAGGGCGGGTTGAAGGGCCGAGGGGCAGCGGGGGGCCTGCGCTGGGGCCCCTCCTGCCGGGACGGTGTGCGAGGACGTGCCCCCGGCGGGCGTGGCGCATGCTCAGCGCAGCCGCCGATACCGTCCTGTCAGAGGACAGCCCTGGAGCGCGCAGGGCACGGAGTCAACAAGGCGAATGTGATTCATTACCAGCGGTCAGGGCCGAACTCTGGTCCAGGCCGCGGGAACCCCCAGGGCTTCTGAACAAGAGGTGACGCTTTACCAGACGTCCCCGGGCACAGTGGGGAGGACGAGTTGGCTTGGGGACTGGCGAGGTGCTGCTGTCCAGGTGAGAGGTGACAGTGGCCTGGCCCCAGGGCTGGGGTTGCAGAACTGGGACAAAATAATGAGCTATTAGGGGGCACAGGGGCCGCATGCAAGAGCTGGGAGGAGCAGGGCTGCTAGTGCAGTTTGCCGGTGTCTGACTGGCTGCCCTGGAGAACAGCAAAGCCGTCCCCTGACCTAGAGACGCCCAGAGGGGTCTGGTTTACGGGGGAAGGTATGGCCTGTGGCTCTGAGGGGTGTCGTGGGCGCTGGTCCACTGTGGCCCTGGCTGACCTGGACCGGCCTCCAGATGTGGGGCTCCTGTCCGTGTGTGAATCGCCCCCTCGCCACGGTGGGGGCGGTGCTGCTCGTCCATGCCTGGCGGGTGAGGTGCTGGCACTGGCCTGGACTCTGGACAGACATCCTGAATGTGGCTCCCTTTCAGAGGACAAAACTTGAGGGGCCCCTGGGTCCCTTCTGGGGGTGAAGGTGGTGGTGAAACACCCAGCTTTTCAGGGGCCCAGGGTGGACTTCCTGTGCCCAGTGTGCTATCATAGTGGGTACAGGGTGGGCTTCCTGTGTCCAGTGCCTGGTCATAGTGGGTGCAGGGTGGACTTCCTGTGCCCAGTGCCCAGTCATCCGTGGGTACAGGGTGGACTTCCTGTGCCCAGTGCCTGGTCATCCATGGGTGCAGGGTGGACTTCCTTTGCCCAGTGCCCAGTCATCCGTGGGTGCAGGGCCTACTTCTGGTGCCTGGTGTTCAGCCTTGTGCTGGGTGGTGTTCCCAAACAGCAGCAGTGGGATCTGTACCAAGGAAGCCTCATGGGTGGGCTTGGCACTTACCTGGTGTAGAGCCTCCAAGACTGACTCTGCCATCCCAGGGACCCTGTAAATGCTTATAGTCCTTCATATATGGGTTTTTGTTGTTGTTGTTTTGCTTAAATTAATGAAAAGTAAGGTCTGTTCTTACACCTGGCCTCCGGGGCCCTGGGGAAGAGCCAGCTGTCTGTGTCCTAAAGCGTCTGCAGGAGTATCATCTGTGCCGCACCTCTTGCCCCAGCCGCTACCTTCCAGCTGGCCCTGGCTTAGAGCAGCTGATGGTGTTTATTTTAGCCTCTGGCTGCGATGCAGCCACTGAGCGCCTAGTGATCAAGTGAGCCCGGGAGCTCCCTGACTGCTGCTCCATGGCTGGTGAGACGTGCACCGAGATGCTGGTCTCCTAGGCCCTGGGAGCACCCAAGCAGGTTCTGGGCAGCCCGCGTCCCAAGCCAGGTCCTTTCTGCCTGTGAACCTCTCATCCACTCACCCAGCCCACCTCACCCATTTCCCTGTGCCTGGTGATCCCAAGAGGTCGGGGCGTGCCTCCAGCATGGCCACCCTGGCTCTGCACCAGTTGCCCTGCGGTGGCCTTTCCGTGCCCTACCGTTACAGCACCCTCCCCAATTCAAAGCAGAACGTGACCTGCCCATCTCATTTATGGAATGGAATGAGAGCAGAATGAAAGAAATTGGCACGGCCAGGGCAGAACAGCACTGCGTGTCTGTCCTCGATCACCATGGTAACCACCACGGGTGACAGGCGTGCTCTTCCATCTGTTTAATTTTACATGTGGGAAGAGTGAGGTGCAGGATGGTTTAACGGCTTCCCTGGTGCGTTCCAGCCCGGGGCTTGTCCCCATGCTTGTGCTGCCACAGCCAGGCTACGGGAGGCTCCCCCCATCATTTCAGTAATTAAATGCCACGGAGTTCCCACGGCAGTTTGCACTTCACTCTGCATCTAGAGGGCAGAATACACTGCCGACAGCACAGGCAGTGGATTGCTCACTGCAGTGATTGCCCATTTCCGCAAACCCCAGCCCAGGCACCTGAGTGGCCCTCATCAGTGTTCTCAGCCCGAGCCAAAGTCGGGCAGTTGAACAAAGGCCCTATTGCACTGGCCATGGCACCGGGGGGGCAAGAGCCCTGTACGGCTATTCACTCAGGAGCAAAAAACGCTGGAAGAGAGCTGGGTACCTGGGGCCTCTGCCGGGGTCCAGACATGCAGAGAAGAACCAGAAACCCGTTTCTGCCCCCACTCAGAGAGGAGGACGAGGAAACACACGCTTACAGTGGAATTTGAAAAGCACTGGGGTGGAGGCCTGGCGGGTACTAAGGTGCACGGAGTGGGAGGGTACCTCACTCAGACCAGGGAGGAAGTGGGAGCGGCTGCAGAGGGGCCTGTGAACCGTCTTCCAGAGGTGATGCTGCCTTGCTTCCTAAAGGACTGACAGGAAGTATGTGGGCCGACAAAGCAGAAAGGGAGTCCAGCAGAGGGACGAGCGGGCGGAGCGGGGAGAGGAGAGAGACCGTGGTTTCTACGTGGGGTGACTTGACCTAATTTGATGTGACTGAGACGGAGGCAGGCAGGAGAAGCTGCGTGTCGGTGACGGTTCTCTGCAGAGGCAAAGTTTACTTTAGGTCTTAAAGCGGGGGAGCTGAGCGTGCAGGGGTGAGTGGTGGAGCGCGGGAGGGGCCTGAGCCAGCCGAGCGGCCCAGTGCGGGAGGGAGCAGAGCTGGACGGCTCTCTTCCCCTGTGTCAGGGAACCTCAGCTTTTATCCTGAGGGCAGCAGGGCTCCTGAAGGGTTTTAAATAATAGATGTGATCAGATTTTTGTACCCAAAGGATAAAGCTAGATTTCTGCTCGGGGCTAAGATAAAGTAACAGGTCAGGATTTACCCTCCCACCAGAAACAACTGAAAAAACAAGACAAATATATAAAACAGTGGTTTGTGAGACACTAGATACTAGAAAACTAAGGACAGTGATCCACGACAGACAAGAACAAACAGGAGGATCCCAGCTCACTGCCTGGAGAGAAGGCCGGGCGCTGGCGTGGGGAGGGTAGTGAAGGTGAGCCCAGCAGGTGCCCTGGAGGAGTGGTACGGAGACGAGACGAGAGTCTGGGTGACCGAGCCCCAGTGGGGAGGGATCTGCACAGAGAGAAAAGCCCAGCGGGTACAGAGCATCCCTGGACCAGGACGCTGAGAACTAATAGGCAGGTGTGTGTGAGGGACGCACGGAGCCAGGAGCACGGTGACAGGAAGGGTCCTCACTCTCAGTGTCTGCAGATACGCAGCTGGAAGGTGCCTGTTCCCGCCAGCCGGCTCCCAGGGCACCGGGCCGTCCATGCAGAGGGGCCGCGCCTGGTAGTGGCAGCACCGCTCTCGTCCCCCCTGTGTCTGATGGCAGTAAAGAAGCACTGGGCCTGGGGAGGAGCAGGAAAACATGCCCCACAGCGACGAGATCAACCAAACAGTCAATCAAAGCTGACTCAGAACTGACACAGATGTTTGAATTAGCAGACAAAGATATTAAAACAGATGTTATAATTGCATTCAGCATGCTCAGAAAGGTAAGCGGAAACATGGGAGATATTTTAAACACCAAAATCAAACTTTAAGAAATAACTGCACTGTGT